ATGGACTGCGTCCAATGCCTGCACTGGCTTCGGGCATCTCGCTCTCGTGGGAAACCAGGCGCCCATGGCCCTGATCCTGAGGAGCATGCAACCTTGGCTACTGCCCCTGGTGCGACAAGCCGGGAACAGGACGGTCCGTCGGGGAACGCAGACTCCAGTGCCGGCTCCGGCCGACCCTGGTGCTTCCCGGGCCCTGACGAGGACTGGATCCTGCTCAAGGCTGATGTCACTAAGGCGCACAGGAGAATTAAGATTCTCCTCCGAGAATGGCGCTACCAAGTGGCTCAGCTTGGTGAGGAATGGTGGGTCAACACCGTGGGCACCTATGGAATGGCCAGTGCCCAGCTCTACTGGGGAAGGATGGCTGCCATCCTTCTTAGGATTGTTTATGCTGTGTTTCCCGAGGTTGATTGGGGCTTTGTTTTTGTGGATGATTTTGCCTGGCTACTCCGTAAATCGGACTCCCCCCTGTTGGCGACAGCAATTTGCCTACTGCTGCTCGCCCTCGGTACTCCTCTGAGCTGGAAGAAGACCCTGCTTGCTGAGGTCAATACCTGGCTTGGCTTTGTCATTGACCCAAAAGGACCCTGTGTTCAGATGGCCCGTGACAAGCATCTTCTTGTCACCGGCATCCTTCATGAGCTCAAAAGCGGTAAAGTCATGTCGGCTTCTCAGATTGCTAGTGCTCTGGGTAGGCTGCAGTGGGCAACTACGGCCTGCCCCCTCACCAAACCGTTTCTCCAACCCTTTTGGGCTTGGAAGAAGGCCTGCTTGACCACAGGTCGTCCGGGTAAACTCATCCGCGCACTCTCAACTCTGCTCCTTTCTCTCTTTGACCAGAAGTTCAGACAAGCATCGCCGTATGCCCCGCTTGCCATTTGGTCGGGGGCAAGTGACGCTAGCGCCTCAGATGATGGCAGCGCCTATGTTGGCGGCTGGCTCTCCAACGTGGAGTCCCCGTCCAAGTCGGAGGTCTTCTGGTTCCACTACCAGGTCACTGCAGAACGGCATCCCTGGGCCTTTGACAAGGGCTGCCCGAAAAAGCGCATTGCTGCCCTCGAGATGTTTGGCACACTGATCCTTTCTCACTTTCTCATGGAGAAGGCGCCTGCGTTCATCCCGAACCTCAGGCTCCCCCTGGTTAGCGACAACCAAGGGAATGTGTACTCGCTCCTGAACGACAAATCCAAGAGGATGCCAACGTCGGTCATCCTCATGGAGGTACTGTACCAGCTGCACCGGCATGGTATGCAGCTTGCCCCCTCCCACGTCAAGCGTGACTTCAACACGTGGGCTGATGATCTGACTCATCCCAACTTTCAAGGTTTCACTCCATCTCTATGCTTGCCGGTGGAACCCGTGCTCAAGCATTTTTCCCTCATCCGTTCTATCTTGGAAGATCGTATTTTCGATGATCCTTCTGACCTCACCCATGGGCCCGCGCAGGGCGCCCGGTGAGGTTGTGGCTGCCTCCTGTACAGGCTTCTTTCTGGACGGCACAAAATTTTGGAACTCTTTTCTGTACAAGGAGGGTTCCCGATCCACAGGTGCCGTAGGCCCTGAAGGAGGGGACCCTCCTATGTTTCGGAACGGCCTCATTCTTGTCTGAGGTCTTCGACCGAAGGAACATCCCGGGAGTCGGCAGCCACACCAATCCACCATGCAAAAGAGGGCTTGCGAGCATGGTCTTTTGGTGTGCCATTTTCATGCGGATATCTGACATAATAAGTTGAAAGGGACCAAACCACGCGCAGCAGAGATAGCAAAGCGGTCTCGAAGCAACAGGGATCAACAGGGCGCCTACTGTATGTACTCTCGCCAAAGATTTGAAACAACCGGCAGAAGAGGAATTCAACCCGCATCAGGCAACGACAGCGTTCCCGATGCACGAACAAATTGCACAAGAACATCAGCCCTCTGCTTACAGTCATCTATGTGGACCTACCTTCAAACGAAGCTCAGCCGGGTTCAACTGACATAACCATGCGAAAGCTGAAGGGCAACTTGTTTTTGCAAGAACGATGGCTTCCCCCAAGTATCTACCACAGCCAATCACTCAAACTGTGTCTGCGCTTTGCGAGCCATCCAACTGAGACCGGAATCTCACGCCTCAAGCTCAGCAAGATCATTTCGCAGAGGGCGAATCATGAAATCAATTGGACTATCTCCTGGCGGCAGAAGACGCAGAAGACGAGACTTGTCAACGAGAGACACCTTTCGCGACATCCGCTGATGGCGATGAAGCATGGGCGAATGAGTTGGCAAAGCTTGCGAGGTAGCGCGGCGGCCAGTGGGAATGAACTGGCCGTCCTTGTAAACGTGCGAAAGGACATCCTGTGGAGTTTCCAGAACATGCGACAGGGCCATGTTGCGGACTGCTTTGAAACGAGGTCTGGAAAGTGCGAAAGTGGGAACGCCAGATACGCAAGCATCGCAGCACCGCACGACACAGAACTTGTAGAAGCCAACGCAGTCAGCATCAGACCAGAAGGAGCGAGCGGCCTCTGCTGCGAAATGTTACATTTTCCGTGACGTTCATTGTCTTTTGTCCTTTCCCCTGCCTTTGGAGCCATGTGCCAAATGTAACTCGTCTTCCAGGGGAGGTGTCCGCACGCAACGAAGCTCGAGACTTGGTGCGAAGTCTTCCAGGGGGATCTGTCGTCGCACATCCAAGCCTGTGTTGGCTTTGGCTTACTTCGCTAGCGGGTTCAGTTGCAACGGCGCATTTTGGGGGGTTACACTGCTTATTGAGGCCGGGACTTGTCCTGCATGCTACGGAAAGTGCTTGAAATGCTGCTATCAGGAGGTGTTCGCAGTAGTGGCATTGCGTGCCTAGGCTTTCTCAACACAGCATAGAAAAGACTCCGCAAGAGTGAACGCGCGATGCGCGTTCACTAGCAGCGGGTGCCGCATTTCTAGTTGTTTTCTGGGGTGGGGACGGGGGGGGGTGTGATTTCGCCATGTCGTCTCTTTCACCTGGCTCCGCGCGCAAGTGCCATGTTCAGGTCTTCGTACTGTTCCTTAATCTCAGCTGGCAAACTACTATACAACCCCATAGGGAATGGCCAGTTCCAAAAGCACAACCGCTTCTGGTCTTTTCCCCGCTTCCAGAAGCGGCTGCATCGAAGAACTATCGATCCCCTTGAGGGTCAGCTCCGGATCACATGGACTTGCAGGCTTAAATGCGGGTGGTTCGGACAGCCACCCCACTTAAAGCGCCTCCGGAGCTTCGTAGCAGCAGGAACTCTGTACTTCATGAGAGCCTGCTCCTCATCTTCTGCTCTCTCACTTCTGGGGGCATGTTTGCGGAATTTGCGGCAAGTTTGGGGCTGGAGTCTTCGATGAAATCATCGCATTCGCCGGAGTCTTTCATGCGGTCTTCGCCAAAACGTCGCTCTATCAAAACTTGGTGCCGCCGTGCCATGTCTTGTACATCTGGTGAGCGTGCTAAGCGACTCCTCTCTGTCACAAAGCAAGCTGCAAGCGCTCCTGCCCACTCGGCCAAGGTAACCCAAGGTATCGCACCAGACCGATCTTCATAAAACATAGCAAACAGAGCAACATTGACGGATGCAGATGGCATGGAAACGAGCACGTCAAAGTGAGCCCGCAGGTCGTTGCTTGCAAACCGTTGTAGACGATGCAGAGGCGCAGGCAAGCGACTGCCGATGCACTGCAGCAACAGGACAATGCTCAGCAGCAAAGCCGCAAAGCAACCAACGCAGAGACGACATGCAGATTTCAGCTCTGTCACGCTGTGCTAACGCTGTAACGCTTACATAACTTACCTAACCAAACAACATCCAGACATCAACAACGATAACTTGGTTGAAACCATCTAAAACATTCGTGTCATTCAGAAGCCAAAACTCGCGTATGCTGTAAAATACGACGTATTTATAACTTTTAACCACACGTGGAAGTGAACCCGCAGGGCTTACTTCGGCTTCACATTTGGCAACCGTGCTGCACTTGAAGGAATCTTGATGCGATGTTTCTCCTGCAATTCGATGTTGTTTTTCACGAGAGCACTATGAAGCTGTCTTCTTTGAGTGTCAACGGCTTATTGTGTGCTGAACCCGGGCTTGCTAACGCAAGTAGTGCAGCGGAAAGCACATCCTCACATCCAAGCTCTCCCATATAGACATGGCTTCCGCTTCAACTCCGAATCCCTGTGAATGCCATTCTGAACTTTCGGACGTTTCAAGCGAACCAAACCGTCTACGCACGGCGTAGATTCGTGCACCATGCTTTCTGCGCTCTCGATGTCTGTCGTTATAATCATCCTGAGGCAACCGCGCGACAGGCTTGTGCTGAACAGCTTCACGTGGATTTTCGTCATCAAACATCTTCAAAGGACGCTCTTTATGAATGCGATTGAAGGCGAAGCATTCCCGCGCATGCCTCTGGGCCATGGCGGGGAAGGCGTATATTTTGGGTCCTTCATTTTTGGCACAGGAGGGGAAGAAAACAAGAAAGGAAAGAAGGAAGGCAGGCAGGAAGAAGCCAAGGACGGAAGGCAACAAGGAACAACCCCTCACCTGAAGGCATCAGCTTTGCTTCCTGCACATTCTGGCGCGTCCCTGTTGCCGACAAGCCGAATAAAGCTATCAGCATACATCAGTTTTCCCGTGACTCCGGGCATCATCAATGAATACAAATGCCACCTCTGCCCCGTCTCGTTCTTCTGGTGTCATCCATGTTTCAGCAATGGTGCCTTACCGCTGCGAAGCCAGAGTTGTCGCTCCTCATCTTTCGAGTTGGAGAACTCACTTTCGTGCATGAGGGGGTCACCCGGTGGTTGCACCCCTCGTGGGACTTGCATGCGACATGCGCTTAGTGCACTAGTCACTCTTGGGCCGCATAGCCCCTCCTGAGGCTACTGTGGTTTGAGCGTCATGCGCCTGCCTTGGACGCACGTCTCACGAACTCGCATTTCCGCCTCAGTTCGATGCTACAGATATCACTTCTTCGACGTCGTGCGAGAGCATGTCGCCCACATGGACGATGATAAAAAGGATTGGTACGAAGAGAAATGGGACGAGGACCGTATTGCATGTGACGTCCAGTAGACATGAGTGCTATTCCTGGAGAGCGTGACATGGGGAAGGCAGGGAAGGGCATGCAGGGACCTGGCCACGGCTCAGATGGCTCAGGAGACAGAAGAGGCGGAGAACGACGTGGCGGGGCTGAGCCTTTCCTTCCTTACTGTGCAGGCGCCGCTCGTTTGGGAGCTTCCACTCGCCAGATCCCTCTTTTGGAGAAGGCCCTGCGATATGCCATCAGCGGCATCCTTCCCAACCAGGAGGGCATGGCACCAAGATGAGCCATGCAAAGCCGATGGCTGTGGTTGACACGTTTGTCCATTGAAACGACATCTGGTGTTCGGATAGAGCGAGGGTCGAACACAAAGTGCCACCGCCTCCTTTATTGCCTTTCGAAGTAGTCTAGCTGCACCCGAAGCAACATCGCAGGCATGCCGACGCGCCACACCAAGCCAAACTTGTGAAGTGGTCCCTACCCATGCATCCGTGAACGAGGCGAGGCCACAACAACACAAAACGCCAGGCAGGCAACAAAACACGTTGCAGCCAAAATCGAGCAGCTGCGGGCTCTCCATTGTCAGACCAGGGTAATCAGGACTCGATTCCGGTCAGCCTGAGTTCAGCTAAGGCATTGAGAGCTGGTCTGATGCCATTTCGCACTCTTCGAGGCACATGGCAGCTAGCAGATTCGGAAGGTCGAAGGTCGTGCCAACTTCGAGCCTGCACCGCTAAGCATGTTTTAGGTATGCTCGCAGTTCTAGCACATACTCTGATTTAGTGTGTGGCCATGCTCCTACTAGTCTACAAGTAGCATAAAGTCGTTCACAAGACTGTTTGATATTTGTCGGTGCGTCGTACGCGCAAAATGAGGAATCTTGCCTCCTGCTCTGCCTTTCGAGAGTGCTACTGTACAGGCTTTGCAAGGTCGACCCCGTTCCGGTATTGAGATCCGTTGCAGACAGCCGTTCGCACAAGTGGCTGAGACATTGCATCGCTCGCGCAAACCGAAGACGCATTATTGCACTCTCAGTTCTTGCGGGGTCACTTTTTCATGCAGCCTTCCTCAACTAGCTCTCTTCGAGCCTGTGTGCTAACGTCACATTATGCACAAGGTTCGATGTACGCCTGCCACTGTTCGGACGAGGCAGTGTCACCTCTTGATGGGCTGTGGCCTCCAGCTCAGGGATGAATCCGAGTTGCATCTGCGACCTGTACGAAGCGCCCGGAGTAGATAGAAGTCAAAAAATATCGGCAAGTCAAGGAGTGGTGTTCTTTCTGCTGTCGCTTGCGGTTCTGAACTCCGAACGCTTGTTGGAGGATGCTGTCAGCTTCATTCGTGCATCGTCAATGGGCACCCAAACTCGCAGGAGCCGTCAAAAAGGATGGAGAGGGCAATTGAGATCCTCAACAACTACTTTACTTTCGGCGCTGCACTCATGTGGGTCCATGTGCACGATGATTGCATCAAATTGTCGGGAAGGTTTGTCCTGGTCTCTTTTCTATGGTGCTACAGACTTACGACTGCTCGAATGCATTGTGCCCACGTGCCTTGTTATCTAGTTGACTTGCAGATGATTACAAAGGTGCGATGGCAAATCTCAGCTCTGCGGTTTACAGATGTCAGGGGCTGAGCAGCAGTACTCGTAAAGTTAGCAGCAGGCCTCCCCGATCCTCAACTAGCGGCTGCATCAGCACAGTGGCCGAAGAATTCGTAACGACCACCTACAATTTCGACGAAAGTCGAGAGCCAGAGCCACTTTGATTAGCTGCTCTGGGATCATGGTGCTGAGTGGACCTTCCGAAAACATAAGATACATAAGTGACCAACAACGTCCAGCTCTGCAGCTGCCCACTGTCCAGATGTGGGAAGATAGGGTTATTATCGAAACAGGTGTCCTAGAAGGTCGGAATGCAAGGAGACCACGGAGGTCAATCAATGCCTGCGATTACGGTCATAGAAATTCAGGAAGCTCACTTGTACGTTACGCACGCCTCCACGTGGCTAGCAGCATGGCCGATGCAGCGTTGCATGAAGACAATTTGGTGCCACCGTTTCCGTCAACATGCCAGAACAGCAGAGGCCAGAGGGTCCGTAGCTCGCGCTTGATTTCCAAACTCGTTCTCTTTGTCTGCGTGTGTGCACGTACAACCCTGTTAAACACCAAGGGACAGTTCTGCAGGTGACTTCGTATCGTTTGCTCACGGGATGCCCCGCAACTGAAGAGCGGGCATCTAACAAAGAGGCTCTTCAAGATATTATGATGCAGACTGGGACGCCAGTCTGCACACCTGCAAGGCCTGTTTCTGCTCATCCTACAAGACATCCGCAACAGACTCTTCACTTCGTGGCATGTCATACGTCTGGTCTTCAATCCTTTTTTCAGGGATCCTGATTCAGCTCCAAAGTCGCGGCACCAGCCGGACTTGCATTGAAGCGACTCACGGGTACATACATGAAAGCAGATGTCTCAAGTGATGCCGATGATGATTGTGGCACCGAAAATGAAACGAGAACTTGGTTCCAAGTATAACGACGCAGGACGACGATCGAAAGTGATGAAACATCCCCCAGCTGCTCGCGCCGGGTGCCACTGCGGATACGTGCAGATGCGTTTTCTTGGGAGTGGAGGGAGAGCTTCGGTGGAGGCAGTTCCCCTACATACCCCTCCGTCCCCCTGCACCAAATAAATGAAGGGTTTGACCCCGGTCCTGCCAGGACTTAGGCAGGCTCACACGCACACACCCACGAATGCACGCAGGCAAGCACGTATGCACGCACGCGCACCCACATGCACACACAAACACACACAAACACACAAAAACACACAGACACACACCCGCGCAAGCGCACGCGCAGGCAGGCAGACATAGGCAGACACATACACACATAGACACTGTCACGCTGAATCCGCACTCTAACTACTTCTGTCATTCGCTACTCAGCCGCGCTCAAGCTGACCTGGCAAAAGATCTGCATTCTCGACTTTGGCACCAAACAGATATCCAGAGCTTGGAGCAGGCTCTGTAAGTCTCCTGTGCCCCCTGCAAAAATTGATACAATTGCATCAGGTTGCCCAAGTTGGATTGAACTGGGTCCTGTCCCGCCGCAAGTGCCCAGAAACGGCCAACCACGGAATCCAGGTATGCGCATCCGGTTTGCATTTCAGCACAAATTGTGAGCCTCTTCGCGAGATGCTCGCCCACAATTCAAGTCACAAGATCTGTGGAGCATCGAAGAAATTAGACCGCCAAGACATGGTTCCGAGGTGAGCACAGGACGATCTGTTGCAGAGTGGGCGGAGTCGCTGTGATTCGAGCCCCGCCAAAAACACAGACGGCTTGATGAGAACAACTAGCAAACATCGGCAAACTGCATGGAGAAACACGACAGTTAAAAACAAAAACAGTCAATCAGAAGAGTTGACAAGGGAGGAACTTGAGTGGAAAATGCACATGAGCCATGTAAGCTCCACTCAGGACGAGACATGCTTGGCAAGCATGACGTGAGTGATGCCGTCAACGAATATCACTTGGTTTGTCATTCGTTATTGAACAAATGTCCGGATGTACTCAAGCTTACCAAGCAGTGAGCTGACCTGGAAAAACCGGTGTGGCCACCTGGACGTAACTGCAATTTAGAATCGATGCCACAGTGAGAATGCACATCTTTTTATGAGACCTCACAGACGGCTTCGTTGGGCAGAGCTCTGTACGCCTCCTCTGCCTCCATGCAGAAAACAGTACACGTAAAGCAGGGGCTGCCAAGACAGATTGGGGCATGTCCGCATGAAAAAACTTGGTTTCCGCTAAATCTTAAAATGGCAGACGCAATCAAAAAACGCAAATATGAAGCAACAAGACACAGAATAAAGGCAAGTTGTCAAATCATCGGCCAGGTTGGTTTGGGATTTGAGGCTCGCATTGCTGCATTCGATCTGCTGCATGTTCAGGATTGCGCGGAATGATTGATCATCCGTCGCCGTTTTGGGTCGAGGCGATTGCCTCGATCTGCGAAGGATCTTTGTGTGGCGGCAGGTTCAGGTCTAGGGCCTGGGATTGAGCGATGGACGGAAGGTCAGGGTCAGGGCCAGGACGATGGCCAAGGCTGTCGCCGAGGTCAGGGCCAAGGAGGCGGTTAGGGTGGCGGTCGTCGTCGTGATCATGAGATCCGTGGTCGTGCAGTTCACGCAAGCCGCGCTCGGCTGCCACACCTCCTGGAGTGGATTAGCGGAGGAATTATCATGGTGGATACCCGCGATGATGATCGTTTCGCCTTTTCAGGCCTGGTTTGAGTCGTGATTGTGACAAAATCCTCCAGTTCTATCAACGTTCTCGCAAATAGAGACCAGGTCATGCCGCCGTTTGCGAACTATACGCTCGATGGAACAAAAGGCCACCCTGGTGATATCGATCGATACGCGGGCAGGGACACCATGTGGCGGATGGGATCGTGCCATGTCGTGCCACGGCGCAAGCTCTCAGCCACGTGGTCTTTTAGCTTCTTCTCGTGGCCGATCCTCCATGACACATCTCCGTTCTACACGGATGTCATGGTCATGATCTACAATGGCAACGAGATCCTGTCCATTGGGTCTTCCGTGAGTTCAGGGCAGATGCAATGGGGGCATCAGTCCAGCAGCAAAGTTTTTGTCCATGGTGTTTGCCGCGGACGAGTTCGGTTTTTTGTCGCGGTCGCAGCGTTTGTTGGTCGGTGTGTCTGGGTCTTCTCGTTCGAGTGTGGGTTCAGGTCTAGGGCCTGGGATTGAGCGATGGACGGAAGGTCAGGGTCAGGGCCAGGACGATGGCCAAGGCTGTCGCCGAGGTCAGGGCCAAGGAGGCGGTTAGGGTGGCGGTCGTCGTCGTGATGATGAGATCCGTGGTCGTGCAGTTCCCGCAAGCCGCGCTCGGCTGCCACACCTCCTGGAGTGGATTAGCGGAGGAATTATCATGGTGGATACCCGCGATGATGATCGTTTCGCCTTTTCAGGCCTGGTTTGAGTGCGGGATTGTGACAAAATCCTCCAGTTCTATCAACGTTCTCGCAAATAGAGACCAGGTCATGCCACCGCTTGCGAACTATACGCTCGATGGAACAAAAGGCCACTCTGGTGATATCGATCGATACGCGGACAGGGACACCATGTGGCGGATGGGATCGTGCCATGTCGTGCCACGGCGCAAGCTCTCAGCCACGTGGTTTTTCAGCTTCTTCTCGTGGCCGATCCTCCATGACACATCTCCGTTCTACACGGATGTCATGGTCATGATCTACAATGGCAACGAGATCCTGTCCATTGGGTCTTCCGTGAGTTCAGGGCAGATGCAATGGGGGCATCAGTCCAGCAGCAAAGTTTTTGTCCATGGTGTTTGCCGCGGACGAGCTCGGTTTTTTGTCGCGGTCGCAGCGTTTGTTGGTCGGTGTGTCTGGGTCTTCTCGTTCGAGTGTGGGAGCCGCGCCCTGTTGGAGGGAAGATCTTTGTGAACTCGTAGAACTTTTCTGGGGGCTCTTCTTCACCGATCGTGCTTTAACTGATGCCACTCGGGCTGTTGGCTAACGAAAGATCATTTCGAAATCGGCGACACAGCTGGCTGGCAGACGGTCGCAATTAAGTATGCTTGTGCCCTGCAGCGATCGCTTCACAAAATTCGCGGGCGTCGGAGATAATTAGGTTTTGACGGTCGGTCCCGGGAAAGTCGTGCCGATCGATCGTTCGGGTATTTTCGCTGCCGAGTACTTCGTTTGTGCGGTTTCGGCAGTTGCGGGGTTGGCGGGGTTCTCTCCTCTGTTCTCTCGTGGATATCTGACGTGCGACTCGACATCACCCCAGAGTGGTCTACAAGGTCGCGTGCCGCTATGGGTGTTTCGGCTACTGATCAGTGAGCTTGTGCTAGCGCGAATATGGGTAGTGTGAGAAATGGCGACCCTTTCGGGCGGCACAGTCCAAGCCGGAAAAGTGGCTATTCCGCTGGAAGGAACAAGAAAACAAACGAAAGCAAACTCAAGGCGACAGAAGGCAACCCTCCGGGCAGAGGGGAAGGAAGGGGGGTGGGCGTGTGTGTTCGGCGGCAAGCTGCCTAAATTGCAACCGGATGATGTTAAATCAGGTTTATTTCGGATTTATGTAGGAAATTTTGAAACCAAGGGTTTTCGGGTTGTCTTGGGTAAGAGCTGTTTTGGGCAATGATGGGCAATGGCTTTGCTAACCAAGTTGCATGAGGTTGCCCTTGTCACAGGGCCTCACACACATGCTTGCGCAATCCTCCTTCTGACGTATTCTCCTTCGGTTCCGATAGTTAGTTGTTGGACAGTGCAACGGGGATTCTGCGTGGAGTCCGGCATGCCGAGTGTTTGACGGGCATGTTTTCGGTGACACCATCAATGTGCATCCTGATCTCGTGCCATGTCAATGCACGCTTGAGCGGGGCCAGTTCCTGCGCACCGAGCTGGTCAGGAGAACGCCCTCTTAATGGTTGCCGGCGACCTACACTGCTGATGTACTCTTCGCCAATCAAAGCTCAATACGCCTTGCCAGCAAACGCTGTCCGCCTTCCTGGAAGGGATGGGAGGTACGGGTGAATTGAGCCGGTCCAGGGGCCTAGCAACTCCGGGAGATCTGGAGAGTGCTGATTTTGCATGCGTCATGCAGATTCACTGTTGGGGGTGGGGTCGTTGGCCGATGCACCAGAGATCGGGAAGCGACTTTCTGACGACGCCTCCAGACTCTTTGAGGTTGTAGCATGACGTTGTCAGCAAAGCTGTCGCTAAGTCCATAGCGCTCTTCCTATCCGTCGCGTCGTTTCTGATGATATTCGTGCTGGACAAGGTGGAGGACGGAGATTAAGCGATGGCAGGGGAGTGCGTGCCGGCACAAGTTTTGCTGCCTGGGCTCTGGCTCATCTGTTGCAGCGTTAACATGAGGTCATGTATTATGCTGATCGAGTCATGCCCACAAGTTTGCCGCCCAACCAGTCTGAACAGCACACGATGACGACCGCGAGAACTCAAATGACGATGTCGGCGACCGCGAAAGGACGACCACTCAAGCAGCAGTAGCAGTAGCAGGAGCAGCAACACCCCCACCACCACCACCGCCGCCAGCCTTTCTCAGTGCAGTTAGCCGGTGTGGCCTGATGATACGGTCTCGTGCGCCTGGTGTTAAGACTTGTGTGGACTTAGACTATCTTAGACTGTTGGGGTTTGTATGACATGACGCGCATAAACGAGGCTTGCACGGTAGAGATGGTCTGGCTTTCTCGTGTCTTGACATGGTCTCGGCAGCAGTCGCACAAGTGTGCCCAAGAACAGGTGAGAAGCAACGAATAAAAAAGCACCACTGTTGCCTGTGACACTTTCATTTGGTGCACTGGCAGGACAACCACTTGTTCGGCCAAGACTCTGAGGTTGCGGAGGGAGCAACTGAGAAGATGATCTCAGGTGTCAGGGACCGGGGCCGGGAAGATAGTGGTGCAGCTCTCGGATCACCAGGTCTAGGCATCCTCATCGGATTCTCCTGGGAGCAACGCGGCTGCGGGTTTTGCAGTTGCAGGCTGGAGTTGCGCAAATCTGGGAATAAGGCAGAGCTTCGACACGGCAGTCGATGTCGTGGCAGAGGGGCTGAGGGAGGACTGCTGCTGCCTGAATGGGAACTCGTGCAGTTGGCATCGGACTCTGACTTCCCCTTGCTGAGGTCCACCCCTCATATCCAAGATGATTATGCCCGCATCCCGTTAAACGGCAGCCTGGACATTCGCAGATCCATGAGAGCGTCTGAGGTCTGTCATACTAGTCTTGATCGTGTTTCCAGCCTGGCGGATCTACATTCTGCCAATGGAAATGGAGCTCTCGGAGGAACACCTGTTGTGCTGATCCGTTCATGTCAGTACTTGGCAGCTTTTACAGCAGGAAATGACTGAAGAAGGTGCTCAGAAGGCTGTACTGAAGCAGTATCTACGATGCACTTACTCCACGCGCGCTGCAGATCTAAGTCTTGGAACTTGGAAGTGAAAGAAACAACTGAAAGATCTGAAAGACCTAGGTATGCGCAGCAGCATTTCGACCTATTTCTCGAAAAGGAGAGGAATGAGCGTGGGACTTGGATAAGGGGTGCACCAGCGCAGAGAACCGCCTGCAGCAAGCCGAGGGATGACTTGGACAGAGCGCACCTTCTCATGAAGAGGCACAGAAGGACCTTCGTCTCCCGACGAGACTTACGACTCTGGACAGCAATGACAAGCTGCTTCTGATCCGTGAGGACCGCACATGGTCTCCAGCACCCAGGTGCAAGCCAGTTCGCGGAGCACATTGTTGAAAGACAGCCGCTTGCTCACGTCGAGCAGGTCATGGTGTCCCTTCCGGCCTGAAGCACCTCATGGTGACATCATCTGGGATCGAGGAGGTCGACACGTTGTTTTTGTCCGGTACGCATAGAATCCGGCTTGAGAGGTGGATGCGCCAGAAGAACACCACCGACATGAAAAGCATGGTGTTCGCTGCTCAGTCGTGATGGCCTCGCAGGTGTCAAGTATACCGTGTTGATACGGTGGTGTCTGTCGAGTAGTTCTTCCTGGTGTTTTACAGATTTAAGGATTTCCCTTCACTTTGGTGTTGCGTGTGAAAGGCTACGTTCCTTACAAGGCCAGCAAGCATGCACCGGAGTGCTTGAAAGGTCTTCACTAGGGGGATTCCCGTGTGCCAGCATATTGGACCCGCGAAGCAAGACATGTTGCTGGTCCTGACGTCCTGCCGCAAACATCTTGCTTCAATGTCCGACCTTGTATACACTTATATGGTCGGCTGTGGTCGCAACTTCGTGTTGTGTCGAGACATTTGGTTGCATTTTGCAATTATATGCATGTAGCACAAGGAGGCCCGAGAAGTCTTTCGAAGCGCTTCTTTGGTGAGGCATTGTGATGCTGGGTTGGCAAAGTGATTCCCGGAAGCATGCCGAGCCCTCCTTTGCAAACTTGCTTTAGCCTCTCTAATGGCTGTCTCCATCCCACCCTGTAACAGTAAACATCCAGAAATCTTCTGCGCTTGGAATTTGCGGTGTCCTTATGTCCGTTTCCCTGGAACACGTCGCAATGTTTGCAGAGGCACAACGTGATAAGATATGTCTCCGCGCAGCATGGAAACACGTGCTGGTGCTGTATGGGTGTGGTGCTGGTGTTGCTGCTGCTGGTGCTAGTGGTGGTTGTCGATGTCTATGTGGTCGTCGTTGTCGTAGTCGGTCGTCACGGAAGTCGTGGTTTTGGTGGTGTTGGCGTCGATGTTACTGTCTTGTTGGGTGCTGTATTGCTTGTTAATAAATTATCTGTTCACACGCATGTGTGAAAAAGATTGCCTTCCTCATCTCCCTCCCACTTCCGTATTTAAGTATGATACATGTCATGGAAACAACCGTTTCAGCGAACGTAGTAGACAAGGCTGGTTGAGCGGTCCTGAGACCTGCAAGTGCTTTTCCGAGCCCCATCTTCGCGACGAAAGGGTCATGCGGGACAATGCAGGCAATGGCCCACTGGGAGCTTTTAGGAGTCTTCGTTTTCGTAGTCAGCTTGTTGTATGAAGGCATCGTCATACTGGTGCACGCAATTGGCCAATCGTTGCTTGAAGACCGAAACAGTGCCTTGGAAGCGTGCTGCTTGTGACGATTTGCACATCTCAGCTCGGACCCAAGAGCAGCCACTTTGCTGTAATGTCAGAAGTTTTCCCCAGCTTCCGTGTATCCATGTTCGCTGCTTTGTTTGCTGTTTCGTTCGTCTCTGCAACCTGCCCATACTTGTAGCTTGCGTCATCTCAACTCTAGGGCTTGTCAAGCTCGCCGTACGTTCTGAGGACAAGAAGAAGAAGAGAAATGCTGGACATCAGACGCTTGGAGTGTCGATGTCAGTGTGCGATACTAAAATTGAACTGGTGGCTTCTGGATGGATCTGGTCGATTCCAAGGAGAGAAAGCGCAAAGCCCCTGCTGAGCAACTAGCGAGACTTGCGTCCAGTGAAAGTCAGCCCGCGAGCTCCTGGCAAGATGCAAGCGGTATCTCGAACTGTTTGGTTTTACGGCCACAACCTACTTCTCCTTCAGCTCCAAGACGTGCGGCAGAACCGTGGCATCAAGTTGTCAAGCATGGTGACTTCTCAATGCTCTCATGTAGTCGCGGGCAGAACAGAGCAGATGCGGAAGGATAGGGATGTCTGCATAATCGCAACAGTACTACATATCAGAGCTGATACCTGCCATAAGTCGTATGATTTACAATGTTGATCTGGCAGTAGCCGGTGCCGGGAATAAACAGCTCGCAGACAATGAGTACACCCAAGCTTGATAATTAGCTTTCCATGGGGCGCTTTCCCGGTGCTGGAGAAGTCCTCAGAAATTTCTGATGTGGGTGTAGCTCTTGTGCAAGCTCACCGTTGATCGTGATTTCAGGACATGCGGTCTCCTTCGAAGCTTCCAAGAGTGAGGGCTTAAGCCAGATTGAAGAGGCTGGTGGGACCTTGATTAGAGTGTGCTCTGTGTGTCGAGCCGCAAGGTGACCAACATGCTCAAGGCCTGTTGCAGGAAGTCTTATGATCAAATCTTGCTGTGCGAGCACAGGTTCAAACCGATGCCCTCGCAGATCTGCATTTGAAGGCCCGCGAGGTCGCGTGCAGCCATGTTGAGGCGAGAGCATGCTCTGTTGACAGATCAAGAACATTCAAGACACTGCCAATAAAGTCGGCGAATTTGCCAACAAGATCCGCGGTATCGAGGTGTGCAGCAGCCCATTGGATCCATACAGAGACTCAGAGAGCCGTTCCAGGTGGAGCTGGGAGAAGCCAAGAAAGCAGCAGAGCAGATTGTGGGCGCAAACACAGGCATGCGCACCAGAGCTACACTGTTCTTTGCTCTAGATGGCAGTTGAGGCATGGGTGAATTGGCAAAGGAGGTTGCAACCATAAAGGCCCGGTCGGTGGAGTAGCATGAGTATCGGTGGAAATTCTATTCTTCAGGCCAAGGCCGCGGAACAGCAGTCCGACCTCATCTTGGCGAAGGCTAAACTCGTCAAATACTGTCAGCCTACCCTGCAAAGTCGAGCCAACTCAGGACGCTGTTGACAAGCTTATCCCCACCAACGCCGGCATTGGTTGCATGGCATCCTTGCTGGCGGGCATGCTTGTGCAGTGGCAGTATGGCAGTATGTGTGCCTCATAAGCTGACAAAGCAGGTGGTGCACACCAGGTTCTCTGCGCCTCGAAGGCTTCCGGCAGTATTCATTATGTCTGTATAGTTTCCAGGGTGGACATGATGTCTGTGCACTGTGTAATGCAGCCGGAAATGATGCGCTCACCACCCGCAGATTTTTCCGATATTTCCTCATGAACTGTTTCATTCAACATGCCCCGTGGTTGTTGACCGTTATTTTGAATTGCCATGTCCAGCTGTTTGTGCCGTGCAGAGCTGTCCGCAACTCTGCCCGTGTGCAGCCGTTGAGTGTGTGAGCGCTGTCTGTGTGTATGGCACGGACTAGCCCTCCTATGCCTTGCAATGGCAAGGGTGTTCGCACCCACAGGCAATCAATCAATCGTTTGCTTCGAGCTCGGAAAAGAGGTAGCCATGCACCAGGCAGTTGCTGCCTACCGGATGCAATGTGACATCGGCTAGCCCTGACCTTGCAACGGCACAGATTTATTTTGCTTTAGGCTTGCTCGGCAAGTAGCGTGAAGGGACAGTGTTGTCACCCATGGTGTGTGGAAGGGCGGAGGCTCATGCCGTATGCCGCCGTAGGCATGCATTTGGGCAGCTACGCAAGGTAAACGAGCATTGTTTGGGATGCTGGTGACAGAAGCCATTCCCGCGTGACGAAATAGTCGAACACAGGCACCTGAAATCGGAAGTTGAGGCCCATCCAACTCGACACCTGCTTGGTGTGAGGCGGTACACTTGCTGGCATGCGAGCCACTGGCTGCAAGCCTTGCCATGCTTTGCCATTATGCGGAAAGTGGAAACATATGGTTTGTTTGGTGCAGTCTTTGTGGCAGCTTGCATCAGCACGGTATCAGTCAGGTTTTAGACTGCTCCTAACTTCACTCACTTACTTTGCCGGTGAGAGGCAGCCGCCGCGAGAGACCCCGCGGCAAGCAGCCTTCCTCTGACAAGCACTTCAAAGGGCTGGAGACAAAGCATCCTCGCTCAAAAGTTGGACTCTGAGACGCACGTGTTTCGCAGTTGCCACTGCTTGTCTTCCATGTTCCGGCTTTGAGCGGCACTTACACGTTGCACTTTTACTTGAATTGTCGGGAATGCCGCAGCTTTAGTAACATCACGCGAATTCACGAAAGCGGCTGCGACGGCGGTCATGCATCATGAACTCCCCGTCCCGTTGTAGAAGTAACTACGGCACAAGATTTTCTGGAATGACAGAGAAGCTAGCTTTCGAGATGTTGTCATTTCACCTGCCTCATTTCCCGAAGCACTCCGCCACAGACATCCCGTGCCGCAGCCCTTTGGAATGTGCAATGGAAGTCGAAGATCCGGTGATTTTGCCTGCCCTTCCTGGCTCATACTCAGGGATGCTGTGTGCAGGCGGTGTTGGACCTGTGCATTGAGATGTCGTGCAGTCCAAATGCTTCACGCTGAGTCAGGTAATGGGTGCAGCCTGTTGCTCGGAAATCGACAAGGTTCCCAAGGGTCAGCTGCAAACCCGGCTTCACGACAGCATATAGCAGACGTGAGCGCAGGCTAGGGCAACCCCGCCAGTGCAAGTGCATTCGCAGCCGGGGTTGCCACCGCCACTGCCAGGCGCGATATTGTTTTTTTGATGCAAGAGCCTCTAAAGAAGTGCGAGGGGAAGCTGAAGTCCCAAGCGCTCCCAAAGAGGACGTGCAGGCGAGAAGTCGAAGCGTGCATGAAGCTGTTCCCTTGTTTGGTGCGAAAGACCTCGCAATACAGGCTGAACCTTCTGTCATGGCATCAGGAGGCGCGCAATACAAAGTAGCATCGTGGCCCAGGGGTCTAGCGGGTATACAGCCTGCAGCCAGCTCAACTTGGAGGAGATGGTGACACGCAGGCAAGGCACTCAGAGCTCAGCAGCAGAATGCATGACAGCAGCCATATAAGCTTGGAAGCTGCACGGGTGAGCCGAAGCCCGAAGCATCCAAAGGTATGAGAAGATCTCTCGTATTGATGCTTTAGATTTTCCCGGCAGCACCTTCCAAGCACTTCAACAACGAGCTGGACCTTGCGTGTGTCTGTGTGTGTGTGGTTCTGTGTGTGTGTGTGTCTGTGTGTGTGTGTGTGTCTGTGTGTGTGTGTGTGTGTGTCTGTGTGTGTGTCTGTGTGTGTGTGTGTGTCTGTGTGTGTGTGTGTCTGTGTGTGTGTGTGTGTCTGTGTGTGTGTGTCTGTGTGTGTCTGTGTGTGTCTGTGTGTGTCTGTGTGTGTCTGCGTGTGTGTGTGGGTGTGGGTGTGGGTGTGGGTGTGGGTGTGGGTGTGGGTGTGGGTGTGGGTGGGTTGTGGGTTGTGGGTTGTGGGTGTGGGTGTGGGTGTGGGTGTGGGTGTGGGTGTGGGTGTGGGTGTGGGTGTGGGTGTGGGTGGGTGTGGGTGTGGGTGTGGGTGGGTGTGGGTGGGTGTGGGTGGGTGTGGGTGGGTGTGGGTGTGTGTGTGTGAGAATCCCTGATAGCAAAGGGCGTTTCTTGATCAAAAAAGAGAGTGGTGCATGCTGCTGGAGTCACCACTCAACGAAGACACTCCTTCAGCATGGTGATATGGAATCGGGACGCCGATTCCACGTACCTGCAAGTGATTATGGCAAGGGGCTAAGCCAAGAACCCCTACAGGACCCTTGCTGTACATTGATTGTGCAGTGCACCACTGAGATGAAGATGTAACCATGTGCTAACGACTCCCACCATGGAGTTTGCAAGTGTGTTCCCGACCGGCATTCTGCCAAAGGGCCGGGCGTAGCAACTGCTTGACGTCTTGAATGAACAGTTCCAGACATTGAATGCCTTTCTTGATCCGCAGCCATCTGATTGTGTCTGCAGATCACTTGAATGCTTTCCTGATTTTCAACTTGAGTCACATCTTGAAAGTTCATTTGAATGCTCGATTGAATGTTCGATTCGGATTCTTCTTGTGATTCTTCTCGACGTTCCGGAAATCGGCATATCCGAGCATGTCTTGGACTCAGGAAGAACGGGATGCATGGAAAAACGGAACCTGGGGCAAACAGCCTCCTCCGGTGCCGTCCACCCCTCCCAATGCTCCGAAAACCAACTTTTCTCTTCGAAGCCTGGCCCAAGGTCGGTATGCGAGCATTCTTTTTGCTCGCTCCATCAAAGAAGCCACTTTCATGTCTTTTCTGATGCAGAAGTTCCGGGAAAACAAAGTTGACCTGGATCAATGTGCTTCTGTGTATTGTGATCAACAAAGCATCCATATCGATGCAACTGAAGCTGAATCTGCTCAGAAAAGTGCAAAAATGCGGCACTTTTGCGAATTCATCTTTGATCAGTGTAAAGATTTTCAGCAAAAGGAGCTATGTGATGCCCAGGATCGCATCCGTGAGCTCGAGAAGCAGCTTGTTGCAGCTCAGAAAGGGGCTCCAACAACCGGGTCCTCGGCAAAGCCCGGACCCAAGAGGACCTCAGATGCTAGTCAGAGTAAGTCAGAGTAGCGAGCCTTGTCGGAAACGCAGGTTGCCTATTTCCAGCCCAACGGGGAACGAGTCGCCAAAATCGACTCAAACCCTCCTTGAAAAGGTTTTTGATCCTCATTTCTCAGCCCAACGGGTTCTGGATACTCAAGCTCCCGTGACAGCTGTTCCCCAATCCACAACAAAGTGGATTCAGAATTTAAATCTGGCTAACACCACTATCAAGTCGCTCTCTGATGAGGACAAAGAGGCTCTACCACAACGAGCTGCGGATTTTGGTTTTCCTGTTCGCTCATTACAGGGAGCAAAGGAAGCTGATCTTTTGAAGATCGTGCTGGCAGCTTGGGCCCTGGCCTCTTGACTGGAGGACAAAAAGCACAATCTTGAGTTGAACAGTGAATGTCGACAAAGGATGCAAACCATCCTTTCTATGGTAAAAACTTGCTTGCAGGCTGCCATTTACGAGCCAGAGTTCATGCCTTGGCGTTTTGGGTTTCGGGTGTTGGGTGCTTTTGTGGTGTTGGTTCTTCTTCTTCGCCAAACAGGCACAGGAAAACTGGCTCGATGGCGCCAACGATTTCAAGAGTTTGAAGGTTTTCGTGACTGCAACTTTATTTCTGCGATTTCAATCGCACGCATGTTTCTCGAGCCCTTTGCGGCCTACATCTTGACAACAGCTCAAATTGAGCCCTTTTCGAACTCGGACCTGACTTTTATGTGGGATCCACAACTGTTTCTATTCAAAAACGACAAGACAGTCGTCTCAGGAAGCTTCGACAGCTGCTGGACTTGAAACCAGTCCATGCTGAGCTGGTTTTACATTGGCAAGTCTCGCATCAATGCCTCGGACAACTTATTGTCCTTCCTTTGGCAGCTATGCAATCTCTCCAAAATGGGTCCTGATTACTCGTGTACGATTCGAAGAATCGCTTCATCTTACAATGTTCCCGGTCGTCGTCTGCACAAGAAATTACGTGCTAGACTGCACAAGCTAGGAGCTTTATCTTTGTACAGTCCTGTGAAACAGGAAGTGCATTCTTCATGGATGATTTTAACGATTCTGGCGGAAAGATCCCTCGCTTCCTTCAACATGGAGCGACGCCTACGGTCTAGTTCTTATTCGCTGACACAAGTGTATGCCTTGTACAGACTGTCAAACAATTTGGAAGAACCTCCCAAAAGCTTGGTGCAAAGCATCCTGCTTCGAGTGCTGACTTTTAAAGGTGGCCAAGCTCCGCCAAAAGCACGCCCTGTGAAGATTCCATTATTGTCCAACAGTGATTTCCGGGACGCCACCAATAAGTGGCTGAAGAAGAGAATTATGCCTTTTAAGGATTTTCTGATTCCTTTTCACCTCCCTCCGTGCCATGTCGTTTCTGCTGCCCATTCATCGCTGGGCGCTATGTTGACCAACCACCATGCTATTATGGCACAGTTTTCCTGGGACTGTCAGCCAGCCTGTCGGTGTGCCGAATTCAGGAGCAAACACCCTGATGTGGATGGGGTGGTTCATCCCCAAGATGGGCAATGGCATGTTGCCTCGCCTTTGGACAAACTTTCTGTTTCCAGGCGACTTCGGTGTCTACTTGGCATCAGTGCCAAAACACAGGTATACCCTGCCCGCCAATCGTTTATCA